CTCTTAATGTATAAATACGATAAGGATGCTCGCTCCTGCTCGTACGTAAACACTCTAGCCCCATCTGTCCTAAACCCTCTATTTATACCTTTCCCATTTTGAGTCGTTTGAAGAACTCCCAGAAAAGATTCCTTTTTCAGCGTGTTAATGGAAGTGCTCAGACCTTTGGTGACCACTTTGCGATTCCTTTCCTCTTCATTCTCACTTTTGCTGAAACAATAGTAAGTTTTACTGCAGAGCGCGACAATACCATCCCCTTGGTATTCCAACTTGAAGAGACCAGGAGTTCGTCGATCATCCTTGAACCGTTTTTTGCAGCAAGGTCTGCTCCCATCCCATGTCTCTCCTCGGTATTTGACATCTACAAACTCTTCTCGGTGAGTGTCACAAGCAGGTGAGGGAAACCATAGATGATAAGATTTGTAAAAATCTCTCTTCGTATCCTCTTTCAACGCACACTCCAAAGAGGGCTCGGGAATCGCCATATAGAAACTGTCAGTATCCATCTGACAAAGCTGAAAATTCCTGAGGTACTTTTTGAGACAGTCGTAGTAGAACTGTAGCATACGCAGTTTTGCCATTTGATAAACGAAAAATCCTATTTGTAGGGGTAATCCCCATTTGATCATTTTTTTCCCCATTTCGACCTCATCAACCTCTTGATCGATAGGTGTAAGTTTCCTAAACAGTTTGTCATTTATAAATTTAGAGGCGTCTCCTTTCACATACTTCACAGTGCGATGCTTTGCTAAATTCTCAATAGTCTTACCATAAGCCGAGTTTCCCAACAATTTGAAAGTATCTGCCAGAATGGTACTGTCCAAGTTCTTATCTCCTTGTCGGCGTGCGTGGGTCACCTTATCTCCAAAATCTCGGAAGCACGGGTTGGGACGATATTCTATCACTTGCTGCACATCCGTCACCTCTAACCCGTGTTCTATATACCACCGCAGTAGCGGTGTGATGAGTAAAATCTTCTCTCCAAACAAGCTTCCCACGAGCGTACGTCGTGGTTGTGATAAAAGCTTGTGTGTTTGACAGTGTCTTTTCATGTGTTCCCCTATATCATCTCTAGAGACGTCGATGTTTTTGAAAATAGGAGGCATTTCGCTGAAGTGATTTCGCAAATGTTTTGGCACTCGAATATCACACTGAATCATCCCAAAGAGACGACCTGATATGACAGCGTCTATAATCTCTTTTTGTGAAATTGTACCCTTTCTTTCAGTAAAGGCAGAGCGATATGTGATTTGATTGTCTTCCAAAAACGCTGAAATGAATTTACTAGTCTTCTTGAGATTCTCCCATTGACATTCCCACATTTCTGTGACTGGTATCTTTAATTCCTCTCTCAGATACTCTGTAATTTCAGTTGTTTTCTGCCTCAACTGTTCTAGAGATTTACTCTCGTCGTACGGGTGGTGAGTTAGGTGTTTTGTAAGTTCACAGTCATGTCCGTGGAATGCACAACCATGGAACTGGTAAGCCCTCTCACCGTCCCATCCATCTACTCTGATACGACGATCCCCGAGTTGGTGCTCTCTGCCGTTGAATTTATGACGTATATAAACACCATTAACAAAAGAAATATACTCCAAAAATTCTCTCGCTAAGCGCCCAAATTTATCAACCTGTTCTGCCTTGAATCCTGTTTCTTTCCTACGACGTATGGGGTGTTCTGTCGGGAGAGGGTTTGATATGCACCAAAGGTAAAGAGAATTACTGTCCCATCCTGAAACACTTTGCACCCACTCTTTACCTCGTATTTTTGTAACACCACTTTCATGATATCGATGAAAGACAATTGAAGGACCACCGACCATTTGTTCTCTCAGCAAAGTGTGGAGATCGCTATGTTTTTCCCCAAACAAAGAAAAATATACATCACCAGGTCCTGTTTTAAACAAGTAACGCAGCGTTACACCGGGAATAGATTTTGCATCCTTTAACATATCAATGTTCAGTTCCCTCTTGTAAAAGTCTGTTTGAATTTGTAGTGCTTGAATCATTGGTTCCACATCTAAGAAACTGTACCATTCAAGAAAATTTTCCAGTGTTTCCATTTTTTTCTCACTCCAAACTTGTTGACAGTAGGTGTAATCTTCATCAGAAATGTGAGAATTCTTCAACGAGCTGTAAAAGGCTTCTTTGGGTGGTAGCGCTGTCTCTTTAAGCTGACTTAAATCAGTTATGTATTCATAAGGAAAAAATCCTTTTTTCTCAGACACGCCGTATGCTGCTAAATATCTAGAATAGTTAAAACCAGGGGCCAAAAAGTTCGTAATGTCCAGGAAAATGAATTTTTTTGTGAGGACGGATATGAAATCATTATTTCTTTTGATGATTGTAGGTTTATATTCCGCCTCCTTCTCCTCATCCTCCTCCTCCTCCTCATCATCATCATCCTTTTCGAGTACGAACCGTTTAACGAAATAGGGTTTTATCAGATTTATATCATACCTCCCTGAGTTATAACCAACAACTGGCACTTGACGAAGATAATTGTCCAACACGTTGAGTAACTTCGTATCGTTCCTATTGTAAATCTCCTCGTAAGCAGAAGCAAAGTCTTCTTTTAAAAGAGTGTAAGCTTTATCGGCAATTTCTTCTAGATAATCACCCATTCTGTCTACCAA